TTATTATTATTATTATTATTGTCATTATTATTATTATTATTATTTTGTTTTTATTAACATAACAATTAAATTTAGCGAATTCTTTTGCCTAAATTAGGATGACATTAGAAGGCATGTTGCAATAAATTTTAGTTTTAATTACAATTATTTTCATAATATATAGTTTTTTATGCTTTCTTACAAAGACACCACAATTGTTAAAATTTGAGAATTTGATTATAATGGCATAATATTTAAAAGAATCCATGAACTATTCAGAAAAATTCAATTAAGTTTTTATTCTTTTATTGTATTAATCAAGTCCTTATACTTTTATTTTAAATCAAATAAACTCATATAACTAATGATTGACTAATTATTGTTAGTCAAAATGTCATTTGTCATTCTATATTACGAAACGCTAACATAACATGTTGATTTATAATAATAGATGATGAATGTAATAAGAGAATAACAACTTATTTAAACTTTTTTGAATACTTTAGAGTTTTTTTTCAAGTATTATATCTTATAATATTATCAAGTTTGGATCCTTAAGAATAAAAAGTAAGATTTATAATATGAAAGAGAGTCACCCCTTTCATATAATCCAAGGCTTATTGAGTCTTGATATGTACCAAAAAAAAAATAACTTTTTTATCCCATAAAAAGTTTAAAAAATTGTTAAACTATATATATTAGGAATTTTTTTCAAGTATTATGCCTTATAATATTATCAAATTTTGGTCTTAAGAATAAAGAGCAGGGTTTATAATATAAACGAGAGCTAACCCTTTCATATAATTCGAGGCCCATTGAGTCCTGATAAGTACCAAGAAAAAGCCTTTTAATCCCATAAAAGGTTAAAAAGTGTTACAATTTATAGACTTTCAACTACACTTTGCACTCTTTTCATTTCAAGTCTAGTTCTATAAGTTAATCAGAAAATGCTATTAAAGATTATACTTATTGCACAAATTGAAAAAAAAAACTGTTACTGAATTAAACTCGAATTATGCTTCTTGATATGAAAGGAAAATTCTAATTAATAATAATGAAGTCGGCCAGAGTACTTTTTTGTTTGAGAGGGTTGTTTTTTTTTTGGGGGGGGGGGGAGGGGGGGGTGTGGGGGTGTTTGTTATTAAATTGGCAATAAATGAGTTGTAAGTAGAACTAGTTATTTCACTGATTCAAAATTAAATTATCAAAGTGAACATAGAATGAAAAATTCAAACATCTAATTATTATATCTTGACTGAGAGTGGATGCATGGTTACAACATGGTGTAGAAAAAGCAGTTCCTACCAACGATACATAGTTCATAGCTGTTGTTTTAACAACATATAAGAGCATGCATTTTGGAATCTGTTAAAAAGGGTGTTTTAGTCAAAGCGAAACTAAAATTACAGGACGGTAAAAATGAGGAGGAGGAGGAGGATATAGTAGTAAAATACTCAAAAATGAAGAGGAGGAGGTGGAGAAGTAAGGCAGGTAAACATCAAGGAGAAATGGGGCACCCTGTTATTGCTATTACGGGAGGGTGAATGGCACGTAATTGATTTTTGAGAAGACTTGTCACGTTTTCTTATGTATGTATTTTGCTTTTTGTCTTTGCAAAAATAAAAAATAAAAAAGACACTAGTTTTACTGGTTTGTTTTATGTCCCCCAACCCCCCCCGTGGTGCTTTTGCTGGCACAAACTTCTCTCAAGCAGCTGGATTGAGATGCCTAGCTTGCCACTTTCTCACCATTAAATCTCCCCATCTCTCTCTGAATGTGTGTATTTACGCATCACATGGCAGGAAGAAACTGATAGTTTTTTTTGTAAGGAAAATAAAAAAGTACATAGAAAGCTACAGATGCAGACAGAGTAGAATTTATGTGATGTTGAGAACATTGTGCGTGAGAGAATAAAGCATTTTGGGTGCCAAACAGATCCAGGAAGTTATTCAGATTAAGATCTTAGCTTCCTTAAACAGAGGATTCCAAACACGCAATTTTCTTTTCCGGTATACTTTACCAACAAGCTAATTCATTAATTAATTATATAAATAAAACCATCAATGAG